GCACACTGCCAGTGCTTTCTCTTTGGGGCATGCTGAACTTGCGGGTGGGGGGACAAGGAAGAGGCAGGGCTTAGTGTCCCTGACCCCCTACTCAGTAGCCTCCTTCACTGAAAGCCGCTATCACGGCTGTCATTAATTGCTTCACCCTGCAAAAACCAGACAACACAACACGTCCCCAGAAGTGTGGTGTAGGCTGGGCTTGTGGTTACTGTAAGGATTACAGCCAAACAATGGGCAGGTTGCATTTTGATGACTCCTAGAAGGAACCCTAGAAATCTTTTCCTCCAAGATACTGTCCTTTCTTAGAAATAAATGAAACGAAAGCAAAAGCAAACTGTTATGAAACAAACATGTGTCGGTGGCTTTCTCTCCCCAGCTGGACGAGGGCTGGATGGATGACGACAGAAATGACTTTCTGGACGACCTGCACATGGACATGCTGGAGGAGCAACACCACCAGGCCATGCAGTTCACAGCCTGCATGCTGCAGCAGGTAACGCCCCGGCCCCTCTGAGTGGTGGGGCCATCCGCTCCCTGCCTCTCCCATCATGATGCTAGACCGTGAGAAACCTCCCCTCCTGGAAGACGGCAGGGAAAACGAGCTACGTGCTTTTCTCTCTTTGCCCACGAGTGAAACGCACGCTGATATTCTCCCAGGCCAAGACAGTGCGCCCTGACCTACTAAACAGCAGTAATGCGAGGTCCCACTGACCACCTGATACCTGTTTGGAAAACACACGTGCCAGGAGTAATGTAGATCAGAGAAAATACAGCCCTGTTTCCAAAAGTAAACCAAGTCCTTCTGTTTAACCTGAGCTGCCGGCACCCTTTTGCTCCCCTCCATGACCCACGGTTGTCATCGTAACCACTGAGTTGTTGAGTTCTTTATGAGCTAAAGGAAGCCGTCTGTGCCTCCTGCTTCCCCGGCACGGGGTCCTGGAACACCTAGACCCATCCACTGAGGGAAGGTGGCTGTTACCCTCATTTCTTACATGGGGCCCAGGATGAGAACGAGGCTAAGCAGCTGCCCAGGTAGCTGGCTGGGAGCTGATTCCCAGACCCCGGTCCTAGAGGAAGGGTCACTCCTGGGAGCTACCCCTCCAGCCTCCCTCACTCTGCGCGTCTGTTCTTGTTTCCTGTCGTCTAGAAGAAGCACGAGGAAGACGGCGGAACGACGGACACGGCCACCATCCTGTCCAACCAGCACGAGAAGGACAGCGGCGTGGGGCGG